CCATGATGCACCGACTGTCACTATTCAAACCCCAAGCTGAACGTTCAGAAGAAGTTGACTTATCCTGGCTACGTCGTGAAGAAGCTGTCCGAAAGTCCGTCCTACTTTTGCCTGTTCCGAACGGAAAACAATTACGGTAAGTGGCATGTTTCTTACAGCCAATTACCATGAGCAACTTCAAGAGCAAGCTGCTGCTGCTGCTGCTGCAAAATTGAAGAAGACAAAACTGTTCCTGGGAATGACGCCGAAAATGCAACAAATTCCTTACCAACAGTCCTTCAAACTACAGTTGTTTAAACAATCGAAAACATGCACACGAAATGTTTTATTCAAGAAATTCCAAGAAATCTTAATTTTTGAAATAGCCGCCAAAAGACTTTGCATTTTAGCCTGGGGGTCCCATCCACGAATAATCTTGGATTTCCACAAACGAGAACCCCATCACCCCGGCTTATCTCCCCGAATCTAGACCTAGGCCGCCCGGTGGAAAGCCAGTGCTTGGGATGGTGGAGTGTTTGGCTTGGGGCTTCCCCCGTCCCCTCGGAGTGTTTAAGGCAAACACTTGTCTTGTTGGTGGCAAAACCAAAAATGAGGAATAAATTTCACGAAAACTGGTGGCACCATTAAAAGTCTCGTCCCATTGGCGCCTCGTCCCATGAACGTCTCGTCCCGAGTTTCTGGAATCTCCTCAACCAGTACTCCCAAAATTATAACCTCTTCACATTTCATAATTCTCTAATATTTGATAGATCTGATGATGGTGCCGATTCATACTCACCAATTTGGTATACAATATTCAAGTTAAGAAGTGGACGATCATTGGTTCGCATTGTTTTTTGTTACGAATTCAAAATTACCCCAACCACTTAGAACCGTCTAAACTGATTTACACGCATATCACATTAAAGACCTTGATCTGGCGGTCACGATGATGTATATATCAGCTCCATCCGAGAATATTCCATGAAGTTATATAGCGTCAAAGTTTGTCACCAAAGTGACCGATGAATGGTTCACTACGTTATTGCATTTGATGACGTTGGACTCGAGAAGTAGAGCAAGAACATCTTTCGCCACGGTGCGAACACGGGTCATGCTGCGTACTCGTATGAATTGCCGGAGCGGTGACGTGGCTGCGTGTGTGCGGGGTATGCGCGTGGTTCTTTGCTTGTTGTTGGATGGCAGTAGGACATCCACGACGGATTTTGTTCGCAAGTACTCGGACCAGACGTCCTTGATGACTTTGAGACTCCGTCCGAGAAGGCGAGCAATCGTGGTAGACACATCGGGAGCATTGTTGCGTCGAAATTCGCAAAGAAGACGAATATCCAAACGCTCTTCTTTGGTTAACGTTCTCTTGCCGAATGTACTGGGTAATGTCATCGTACAAGGTAATGTCATCGTACTGTAGTCGTCGTCACTGATGGTGGTCATCCTCTCGAATGGATGAGAGCACATAACATTGCATTAATCCAAAGATGTATTTGTTTACACCACACTTACACGAATATACAGTAATACCTTCCGGAAACTTTACTAATGTACAGAGGGTATTATTTGTCGTTGTGGAAATTGCATTGACAGCGATGTTTCGTGTAACACATCTTACAGGTTTACAGGTTATCGTTTCTCAAGTAATACTTTCAATGAATGATTTTTTTATGCCAGTGAGCTCAAGTAGCATACAAAATTTCAAAAGAAAAGGCAATCTGGCTTGTGAGATACGGATGAAGGTCCCCCGGATGCCTTTGCGGACTGTTAATGTACATTGAATGAACTACATAGGGCTGGTATACTAAATTCAATAGATGTGTAGGCCACCAGGCCTGCCGAGTATTCTCGAGCACTGATTGGATGAAACACAAGTATATCGTTTCTTGACATGACGACATTACCGCCACGCGAATCGTCGACGCTGGAGGATATTCATGGTGCTCTGGTGGCCGAAAGGTCGAAGAAGGCATACGCCTCGGGAATCCGTCAAGTTGTCAAGTGGATTCAGCACACCGATCAAACCAATGAGCTTCTCAAGGATGACGGCTCAATCAACCTGGCAACGTTCTCGTATGAGTCGTTCGTCCAGTTCATCGTTTGGACCATGCAAAACACTGCTGTGAAGGCCAACACGATGTCCGGCTACAGGTCAGTCATGCAAAACTACTACAAGATGCAAAAGGTCCATCTGCCGCCACAGTTTGACAGCGACTTAAAAGACGTGTTCCAAGTTACAGCAGCAGCACAAATAACGACATTAAAAGCTCCGTTAGAAATTCGGCGAATCACAGCGTCAAGCGAGCAGACCACTTCAGTGAAGGAATCGGAAAAGCGTCCTCTCGGTTTTGGAGCTTCCGAAGCTCTTTGCCGCACAACAATTTCGTCAATGGACGCTGGGTTCCTACACCTGTTTCTCGTATTGTCGTGGAACCTGATGGCACGCTCGAAGTCAACCGAAACCATTCAGCTCGGACACTTGTCGTACGAAGAAGACGCCATAGGGGTCACGTTCTTCAAGTCCACGACCAAGGTGGAAGCAAGCGGCGGGATCCTCGGCACATCTATGCCAACCCACTACAGCCACACATGTGCTCTTTCCTTGCTCTTGGGCTGTACCTTGCCTGCAACCCGATGCTTGCTGCTGGAGCACTCTTTCCTGGTTCGTCTCAGCGCACGAGATTCGGCAAACGCTTGAAACAGGCACTATTTCAAGACAATCCGGTCCGCAGCAGTGAGATTGGAACTCATTCGATTCGCAAGGGAGCGGCCACATTTGTGTCTTCCGGTAGCACGGGTGGCCCTTCACTTGTCAGCATCTGTCTTCGTTGTGGCTGGTCGCTTGGCAGCGTGGGTTTTAATAGGCACATGCATTATGAGCGAGCTGGAGACCAGTTTGGTGCCTGGGTTGTTGCTGGGTTGCCACTGAACCAAGCCAACATTGCAGTCCTGCCACCCCATTTTATCGACAACAACAGTGACGTGGTCGCCGCCGCGCTTGTCGTCACTTTCCCAGTGTTTGCCAAGGTCGCATCAATGCGTGGCACCCTGGCTCATGGACTGGCTTCTCTCGTGCACCACTTCGCCTATGTAGTAGACAACCTACCTGCCAAATACATCATCTTTGGCACGCCCATCTTTCGCCATCCACTCATGCTTGAAGCGCTGAAAGTCCAGCTCGCAGGAACAACCCCACGACTCCAATCTTCCGGCACCCCACCGTACATTGAAGTCTACTAACTTCTCGAGCGCCAAAAACCTGCCATCGATGCCATACCAAAAAACATTGTCGACCAAGTGCGGGACATGCTGGACGAGCGCGACGTGGCGCGCGGCGCAATCACCAGTGTGATGATCAAGCAAACCATCGTTGACGCGCTACAAGGACTCGGTGTTGGTCAGCAGTTAGATGATCACGGGCCTCTGCTTGATGGCGTACAAGGTCAGCGGGTA